CTTATGAGGAGAAACCGTTCATGGAGTGGAGTGACAGGCTTATGACAGTGAAATATGTCTACAACAAACAAGCCTATGTCTGAGCGGTTCCTCCTCAAGAAAGGAAAGAGTTTGTTAACGTTGTCTCAAATACACTCTAATCATAGGGAGCCAATTTTGGCACAATTTTTTTCATTAAGTTTATGGTGTAGTGTTAATTTTCATTTACATTAGCCATGAATGATTTACTGTCAATTTTTAGGATAAATCTAAGGCTTGGTAACCACTATAGCATATAAAGTGAAGTGAGACGAATCTCGCACAAAAGCTGCTGAAACATCATGGAACAGTGGCCTAGTGAAACTGTTAACTGCCTCGTCCTTCAGGCAGCTGGAAGCAAGGGGCGAATGGAACTGTAGGTGTTATGCACAAATCGTGATTCCTCTCAAGTGATGTGTAAAATTGCAAAAAAGACTAAGTAGAAACGAGCAGATATTCTAGTACCAAAAAGCATACATAAACGGTGTAGAATTTCAGCAAGTTAACAGTCATACACCACAAATTACTTAACTCAAATTCCTTGACATCGTCTGTCATACACTAGTGTCAAGAAAAGAATAACTGGAAATTAACGTATGATTTGGGAATATAGTTTTATGAAGCTCCATGCCAATCTTTCGGAAGGATCACAAGATCAACACTGAGTTCCGAAACAATACAGAATCAACTTCAACTCTTCAAGGATCAGAAAGTACGACCACAGCGTTTCCACGGTACATGCAGAAAATAGTACCACATGTCTGTAAGAGCGCGAGATCAAGAGAATGATTTGGCCGAAAATGAAAATATGGCTGACAGACAGCCCTTTCGCAACAAGGGAGGTGAAATACGCCATGAAATGAAATCTTACCTCGGAGAAAATGTACGCCAGTATAGACTACAGCTAGCATTAAAAACTACAAAAAACGACAGATCATGAGAGATCGACTAACAGCAAAAGATACATAATAAATTGTGTAGCATCAAAAGGTTATACCTCAAAAAATGCAAAGCTGAGACTCAAAAAATCTTTGACAATTTTGTCATAAGTTGTTATTATTAGAAACAGAAAACAATTTAAAAAAGAATTCTACAACAAACTTTATGACAATCATTAAGACGCTCAAGAATATCACATGACTAATAAATGAGTTTTGAAACAAACTTAGTCAACGCGTCGAGTCAACGCTAGTTCCCCAGACATTCAAATAAAAACCTTCGCATAGCACAACATATTTCAGTAAAGAGTACCAAAATTTTGTGCAAGTACACTGGGGTCCACCGAAAGTGCTAAAGACATCGTATCTAGAAAATGAAAATCGGAATGACGGCCCAAATTTCCCTCTACTTTCTATCAGAGCACATACTTTAATGTAGAGTTTATTTGACAGTCGCCTCAAGATCTTTAAATGAATGGCTTACAGTAAGACAAAAGCCTATATAATAACTCCGAAGTCCGAATAGTTTTACATTCTAACCTCAAAAGTACAAATGTATCACAACAAACAGAATGGAAAACTCAACAACGTCACTGTTTTTTGCGAAAGCAGGATTCCGAATGCTGGAGCCCGTAACTGGCATTAGGTACAGGATTCGAATTAGCGACGGCAGAAACAGACGAGAATTCCTGCGCACTGTCGAGGTAAGAGCACTCTTTTATGAGATTCTGGAAATTCTCCTTTTCCTCGTCGGTTAACAACTCGAAGAGGTCTTCGTGCTTGACATCGACTCCACGGCAGTACAGCTCTTCATCAATCACTTTTTCGTCCGTCTCCAACATTCGCTGCATATTACCCAAGGGGCTCACCTCCACCGCCACATCGTCGCCTTCAGACGCTCCGAGACCGATGATGCCCGACGACGACCCCTCACGCTTCGGCTGTGGTCCATCAGCAAGCTGTTCAAGAACCAGTTTCTTGTAGAATTCTTCGGAACATTGACTGTGAGCCTCACATCGAAAGCAGGCCACTGAACAATATATCGCTTGGCATCGGGGACAAACGTAAAACTGGCGATTATTTTCAGCTTTATTACAATACTGGCAAACTCGGGGCATCCTCGAGGCGGACTAACACTGATTGTCATGTACAGCTTAAATTCCTGGTAGAGGCTCAAATATTTGTACAATTGCTGCAGTGCACTAAAATTAAGAATCGATCAAATGAAGAAAGATGATTGAACGCTTATCGAGTATCTAGTGATGTCAAATCAAGATTACTGTTATGGTAGACAGCGTCTATTAACGTTCAAAACGTTTGATAAAATTGAATAAATGAATCTAACATTCAGTGCTTGTAATAAGGTGTAAAATCGGAACAGGAAAATATAGAATCACAATAAAATCAGAGTTAAAGAAAATCGCCAATTTTTCTGCTCCTCAGCGAATGCTAAAATAGCATTGCGATTTGATAGGATTAAAATTTCTTATTCGCAAATCAAAGAACAAACTAAGATAACATTTCTAACGTTATGGACAATGTGTAAGTTGATTGGTTTCGCATTTGGAGACTTTATCTGTCACTAAAATAACTTTTTCCCTGCAATTATGTGAGAGGTTTATTCTTATCTCTTTTCCAGTATGACAAACATGGTTTTGAGTACTGTGCTTAAAATCTAAATTGTTTCGTCATTCCAGACTGATTAACTACAGATTGACGATTAAACTTCTTACTCTAGCGTTAGAGTTGGATTGCCAGAAAACTTAAAACAAAGAAATCTGACGTGACAGTAGCCAACACTAGAAGAAATAAGGGTTGTTACATACTGCAACGTTCGTTCTTTGAATGGAAAAAATAAGTGTTCCCCTAGTCTTGTTGGAGAAAGGAAATAATCGCATTTTTCAAAAAAAAGTTTCATGCAGTCACATTCTTAATAAATAGACTATGATTGTTGCAGATTGCTTTTTAAATCAGTCAGGGGAAGTGGCTGATGTAGCACATGATGACTAACTGTTCTGGGCACAATTGCTCAAGAAACACGGCGTGAAAAGGGTTGTTGCCTTCCTATCAGATAGAACGAGACTTCTGTTTTTGTGTTCATTTATTATACGTATGGTTTATGTGTACATAAGAATAAAAGAGTTCAGACAAAAGGTTGTCTAATCCACATCCGAAAAATCGTTGGTTACTGTCGTCACTGGGTAATTCATGTTTCATTCATATTAGATTGATGAATGGTTATCTGTTAGCAATTATTTGAAGCAATAAGCATTAAGTGGCACCCAGTAGCATCTGTTCATGGGGAGTATTAATGGTTTTCAAGGATCTTTTAGCAAAGCTTAGCAGTCAAATTTATAACAGTGGCAGCTATCTGTCTTACAAGATCATCGAGGGCTGATTTTCTCTGATGAAAAAGAATTTTTAGGGAGTATCATACGGTCATATTCTTTATATGTAAGGCCGTTGACGGATTTGGGTGTCATGTAGAACAGTAGCCGCAATACGAAACACAGGGTAGAAGGTTGTAGCAGCTATTAGTTCACTTCTCAATGCTTGAGCTTTCTAAGCAATGAAAGTGCTCTTTTAATTTTTTGGGCATCACCAAAAGCCTACGCATTTCAGTGCAGGTACATTTTCCAAATAATTCTTTTCATCCTCTCGTCTTCTGTGAATTTCAGGTGTGTGTGGGTTACGGACAAACATTCTGGTAAATGTCAGAGGATCGCAATCCGTCTTCTTCGGTTCAAAATGTAATCTACAGGATTTTCGGCGCTGATCGTGAATCTTGGTTGATGATCATGTTGCAGATCCTTTCATGGATCTCATGCAATTTAACAAGCACCGATGAGAATGAGAGGGTCCACAGATGAGCACCACAATTACTATATCATTTTCATATTTTACACACGTCATGCCCTAGTTTACTCTGCACGCACTGATGCACAACGCGAATAGTACTGGAGAAGAACAGAACTTTAAGCATCATCAAGCTTACCGCGTTAAATATTCATTTAACGATGCTCCTACTGATGGTGGAAACATTTGCAGAGAAGGAAAATAACTTCGTTTCATGTCCATCGATGCTAATCGTTCGATCAAATCGTTTCACGGCTTAAGTCTAAGATAGCTGAGGGAACCAGTTTGCAAACATCATAGAAATTTCTTGGGATAACGTGGGTGGTGACGAAAATGGCTTATCGCTAAGTAGCTAATCTCCTTTGACCGAAGACAAATTGATACGAATCCATATGTCTATGGAGGTAATGCTGAATCTAATGTAGGAACAACTGCTTGAGACAATTGGATGCAGTTGAGGTAACGGCTTCCAGTCAATGGAACTGTTTGGATTCTACCGTTTTTGGTTACGGTTAATTTTGAGACACTCCAAGGTAGTGCAAACTGCTACTTCAATAGTTTGTCAATTGACTTTTTTGTCAATCTCCTTTCGTAGCTGTTTGCATTCAGTCGTGTAGCCCGCTTTGTAAGGCGTCCGTGTCGTTCTTAACAGGCACTTCACAATGTCACGTGTACAGTGTCGCCAGCGAAACCTTTCGGAATGATGGGTGAAGCATGTTTTCGCCACCCGTTATGACCATTGCAAGCAATCATAAAACCGTTTAATGTTTTCGGAACGGAGCTGACGTTGATTACTCGGCGGTTCTGGCGAACGAAATGGCGCTATCCCAGGTTAACGCTAATCCTTGGTTTCGTCAAAGAAAGAAGTGACATGTCTACTCAATGCATAGTGTAATTCCGAGTCGCTGCCCGACAGAAAGGTCAATAGATTGGTGACAGCTAAACCTTTAAAACTGCTTGTCATTCCGACTGACATCACCCATTATAATGAATAGACTGTTCTTCAGCGCTGCACACTGCTTAGGACAAAGATGGTCTTTGAGCCTACATGTTAGTGAACAAGACGCTACTATACACCGAGAACAAGCAAGACCCGCATTCAAAAAAGACATTGGAAACTTTCGTGAGCAATCCAAAATCATTCCATTTTTTGTTGACACAAGCAACGATGCCATTGCCACAGTTTTAATTTCCTGAGTAGTCAAGTCATTAAAGATAGAAAGTTTCCAGCGCAACTATTTCATACTACACAGCTATTAATAATCACGTTTACTGGACTAGGAGGGCGCAAGTATTCCGAAACAGCAGCAGAATGAGCAGTCCATAAGCCATCGAATTTTAGTTGGACTGGCTGACAGCACTGATGGAAAAGCGCACTACTGACGACGCAGCTCTGTCTTTTGCTGTCGACTGCCAGCCGCCTCTTCTTCAACGTTTCGAGCGCTAAGTTACCCGATTTATACTGATCATGCTGTTTGCTCGTATTATCTATACTTAGGAGTCACATAATGATGTAGGCTCGAGGGTACGGCAATTGAATACGCATCTGAT